CTTTGTTGTTATTTAAATGTGTAATAAAATACAATAAAAACGCGCAATTGACTATACTTAGTCCGGCCCGCCACTGCATTTTGAATATTCAATATGGCCCAATTCCAAAAATATTTGCCCAGCCCTGAGTTAGAGGATAGATGACCACCACTGCCAGGCGCGCAGCCAGGATTTTTAAAATCGGAAATTCCCATTGCCGCCTGGAACATCCACCGCGATTTCGCGCTCGTTAAAAGAGCCGTCTTTTCAGCGTATAATGATCATCCTGTCACGTAAATTATTCAATCCATGACAACTACGAGATTCTAAAATATCTTTATATATTAATTTAATGTGTCCAACGTAACTCGCGGTTGCTTCTTCTTACGTCAAAATAAAAACATCACTATTTGGTCCACGACGATCTGTGGCCTAAATGTACGAGATAAACTGCCTGATGTATTTAATTTTAATACGTATTTTTGCAATCTTGCCAACTCGTTATCGCCGTTACAAAAATCTTAATAACTGATATAAAATTCTGCAAAGTACAACTTCATTTCATACAATGAATATACATACAAAGTTTAGCAGTAAATTAAAAATACATATTCATCGCCGCGATTACTCCACCTGTTAAAAGAGCCGACTTTTACAACGAATAATATAACAACGAATATATATTTTTCTGTTGTGCAAAGTGATTAATTCGTGACAGATACGGGCATATTTAAAATGTCTTGCTTTATTAATTTAATTGTTTTCAATTCAACCTGCGGTTGCTCGACAAAATAAAATCATCATCACTCTAATATGCCATGGCAATCCGCGGACATAAAAATAAAAATGTGTTGTAAACTGCCCGATTATATATTGTTTTGATCCGTATTTTGCGAATTCGGCAAATTTGAAATGTGTAACACTGACTCCGCTCAATCGAAATGCCGCCACTCCGATTATTTTTGAGATAAAAACCATTCGAAAAATCCATAAATCTGCCGTAAAATCTCAGAGTAAAATTTATTTCAGCACAATAAAAATTGATTGAATATACTTTAGATTAATTATATTGTATACATTCTCACAACCCCGTAAAAGTCGCGTTTCAAACCTTGTATAATGGTAACACAAAAATTTTCGACGCAATTCAATTGAGGTAATGAATGGATAATCAGGCAAATCCCGCCCTCAATTAGTGACGATATGTTTCTAAACGCGGACCAAACATAATGTGGCGATTTTCACTGCTAGAAGAGCGTTTTTTAAACTGTTGGGGGCGATTTGTTAACGATTTTATTTCAGTATTTTAAATTGCCGCTTTTCAATCAAAAAATTCGCGTGTTCTTTAGAAACTCGCCGCCGATGAACGCATTCACCGGATTCACAATTCCGTGCGAGTACAAAAATAAAATATTTGTAATCGTTATCGCGGAACAAATTTGTGGAAAATTTGCCTTTTAGAGAAAATAACACAATCGTAAAGGCGTTTACGACCTGAATAACACGTCCGCCGATAAAGCAATCGCGCGCAAGTTCCTATCGAGAATGTTTTCACTCAACGGAAACGTCTTGAAAGCGGCGTCGAAAATGTGTGACGTCACACAAATATCTGATATTCTTATGAACGCTAATTCCGATATTCGAATAACCAGATATTCGAATACTTTATTCGAATTGGCCATCCCTGCTTGGAGAAATAATTTTACACAGGCCAGACTAGACCGTGTTTATTCTACAATAAATAGAACTAAAGTAATCAATCATGTTTGTAAACCCACCCTCTATTCTGACCATAATATATACTCAATTGAAATCCAAATTGACACAGCGACAGAGAAAAGAGGACAAGGATATTGGAAGAATAATATCAATGTTTACAAAGAAGAGAAGAAACTGAAAATGAAATGGGCAAATTGGAAACTCTTGAAGGAGTATTTGAAACCAAAACACAATGGTGGCCTTAAATTTAAAAAAAAATCAAAGACCCTGTAATAAAACATCCTGTAATATCTGCCAAATCAGCAAAAAAAAGGATATCAAGAAGATTTGAAAAAGCTGGAAAATTTAAAGAAAAGACTTGATTCAGGGGAGAAACTTCTCACAATATATAACAAAACTAAACAAAACATAGTGAAAAAACAGAATGAAAATATTAGTAAAATCAAGATTCAAGCCATGGCCAACAATAAATGCAACAAAACTTTTTTCAAAAAACTTCGAAAAAGACAAATGGTTGCTCATGCGAATAGGTTGAAAGATGAGAGAGACATAAAGCATAAAAGAATAGTAGATAAAATGAGAATATTGAAGAAATTCTATCAAGAGTTATATTCCAAGGCGACAACTAATTAATTATCATAGTCAAAACTGTTTTTTAAATAGCATAAATAGTGAAAAGATAATTGATGAAACTGAAGCTGATGAATTACAGAGACAACTAAATATTGGAGAAATTGAGGCTACAATAAACTCATTCAAAGAAAACAAGACATCTGGACCTGATGGAATCAGTATTGAATTCTATAAGAAATCGTAGAATACAATAAAAAATGACATATTCCAAATAATGAAAGAAATATTTGAAAAGTGCACTACAACAAAAGAAATTAAATGGGGATATATGGCCCTTATACATAAAAAAAGGAGAGCAAGACGAAATTAAAAATCATCGACCAATATCTCTATTGAACTGTAAATTATAAAATACTGACTAAATTGATAGCAAATAGATTAAAACGAGTATTGCCAATAATAATAGACGAAAACCAAACAGCAATTCCTGGAAGAAGAAGTTTAGATATGTTAACAATATTAAGAGATATTTTGGTGCAGGAACAAAACAAAGTTGGTGAGTCATCACTATTATGATTAGACTTCAACAAAGCGTTTGATACAGTAGATCATGAATTTTTATATAGAACACTTCAATAATTTGGTATAAAAGACAAATTGATAAATATACTGAAGTCTATATATATATAACTTATCAGAATCTCGAATAATAATGGATGGATATCTTAATGAAACGATACAACTTGCACGAGGAATAAAACAAGGGGACCCACTTAGTATGTGTATATTTTTAATTTCCGTAGAACCCATGATAACGTATATCAACTCTGTTAAAAAAATTCGAGGAATAAATACACCAAGAAATAAAGATATAAAAAATGTAGAATATGCAGATGATATTACCCTCATATTGAGAAACTCTTTCCCTGTGATTTTATCTCTTATATTTTATTATGTGTAAGCACAAAAGAAGAATCAGAACAGATTGAAAGTGTAAATTAATATACTAAATAATAATATATTTGGTATGAAATTCTTATTTTTTGCTATTCTCCTAATTCCGATTAGAAATTTATCTTATCTCTAATCAGATATCATTTTTTTTACATAGTGTATATAGTTTTTTTATTCATATGTATATCCCGAGAGTGTAATATTACAGAACGTGTGTTATTAATTTATTTATTCATGTGCTTGCTTTTGGTGGTAACCGACTTAGATGACTGTTAATGGTCGTATCGTTACCACCCTGTCATCTACCGAAACCTAATTTTTCCCATTTTGCTATCATATATATATTGTATGTGTTTTCTGGTTTGACGAAACAATAAATTCTCTCTCTCTCTCTCTCTATGCCACCCTTTGGGACCAAGAGAAATTGGCATAGTAGCGTGGGTGACATGGTAACGAGGGTTTGTAAAAACAGCCTTGAGACGTGACAAGGTAATGCCACATTGATTCGCAATCCCTTCTTGAGTGGTAACAGCAGGTTCTCCAGCCTTTACTTGGGCAGTTCTTCGCAGACAGAACTGGAAAGCGCTACCTGCCGAGGAAAAGTTGCAAGAGAACGAGGAGGTCGAGCTGTCTGACTTTCCTGAAGCTGATGAGCGCCTCGAGACTGGTGGGTTTTTCGCACTGGATAAGATGTTGCGCAGCGAGAAGCTGATTGAAAGCGAAGATGAGATAAATGTTGAGGAGCAGATCGTTTCGTTCGAAGAAGCCCAGCGGGCATGGAGCACACTGTCCGGAAGTTCATGCAGCAGAGAAGCGGAAGCCCAGTGTGATGCAAGCATGCGATTAGCTAGATGTAACAGCCGTTCTTTGTGACCTGGACGACACCGACTGCACACTAGATATTTATTAACAGTTCAATAACGCGGTCTTTCAAGCCCCAAGTTTGTATCCTCAATCCAGAAAATCACACAACTCGAAGTATACAGTTGACACGGTTATCTTAATACAAACGTAAAAAAAAATCAATACAAAATACTTGCAATAAATAAATAATCATACACAATTCGGCCTTTAGAAAGCCTACTCAAATTTATGAACATAATTATAATAAGTCGAACCAAATTACTATTGAATAACTTGCAGTCTTCAAATCAGAAAGAGTTACAAATTATAACATACCGAATTTGTCTGCTATTCCAGGCTTAAATTATCATAAGTTGAACATGAAATCATTCGTCAATGAAATCCGAACAAATCAATTAAATAAACTATAACTGTAAAATCAATCACAAAAGGCCATTTAATGCTCATAAAATATCCCTAAGATAGGCCTATGTGGGCAGCCATAATCTACATTATTTAATCGTCCTACAGTCAAAACAGAAAGCCAAGGTCGCTGAACAAGTTTAACTTATTTACAAATTACAACGAAACGAGCGCCATTCTCTGCAAAAGTAAAGCGCTATCTAAAGCAAATTACCGAAACTATCCATGTCTAAGCGAGACATGTCTGGGCAAGTAATTGCCACGAAGACTCTCTCAATTGTTTCGTAACAAAGTGTGTAGAAGCACACTGTCAATCAAGGAAAATTACGGCGTCAACAATAACAAATAAATTACTACACAAGTTAAACAGACGCAATGTTTAAGTCAATACAAAAATCAAGTGAATGCGATTCTCGATGTAACATTCCCCCAGCCAGATGTTGGAACCCAGTGAAAACATCTTACTCACAAATTTCTTACATCGAGGATATCACACACGTGAAAACATTTTACTCATTAACTCTATGAATCAAGCACAACTTTGCAATTGGCCTTCTCAATAAACCCCTGGATGTCTTCACAGTAACTTGACGCACAGCTCCAAGTTTATCAGGTGTAGTTTCCATAACACGTCCAGTCTGCCACTTCCCCCTGGGTATAGTATTGTCTACAAGTAGCACAATATCACCAACTTCCATATTACGTTTTTTAGAGGTCCATTTCTGTCGTGTCTGAAGTGTGGGTAAGTATTCTTTGGTCCATCTGATCCAAAACTGATCAGCTAAATACTGAATTTGTCGCCATCTTCGTCGAGTGTAACAGTCCTTTTTGTCGAATATGCCAGGAGGTAAATTACTTGTAGGATTCAGTAACAGCAAGTGATTTGGAGTGAGTGGCTCATCATCTTTCGGATCGAAACTTATTGGAGTGATGGGTCTGGAATTCAACTGTGATTCCACTTCACAAAAAATAGTTGCCAAAGCTTCATCTGACACCAACTGATCGTGTAAGAGAGCAACCAAAATCTTTCGAACTGACCGAATTAATCTTTCGTAACATCCTCCAAAATTAGAAGCAGTAGGTGGATTGAAATGAAATTTAATATTCTCCTGACGCAAAAATTGTCCAACTTTGCTTGAATTCCAAACTTCTATTTCTTTACGTAGGATTTTATTTGCTGCAACGAAGTTACTACCGCAATAAATCTTCTTAACGCATTTATGAATGAATCTGCATCCATAGAGTATGCAACTTCCAAGTGTACGGCACGAGTTGTCATGCATGTAAATATACAGCCCCACCTCTTGACAGTACTTCGTCCTTGCTTTACAAGAAAATGTCCGAAGTAATCCACTCCAACATAGGTAAATGGTCTTTCACCTGGTGTGACTCTTTCTTTCGGAAGATCTGCCATAATCTGTTTACTCACAGGTGAACTTCTTCTTCGACAAAACATACATTTTCTGATAACAGATTTCACCATAGCGCCTCCTTTAACAATCCAAAATCGTTGTCTCAGAGAAGTCCATGTACTCCCCATACCAGAATGATGTGTAGATACATGATGTTCTCTTATAATCATCTCAGTTACATGATGTTTATGTGGGAGTATAATCGGATGTTTAACATCAAAATCAACCGGTGCATTTCTCAATCTCCCACCAACTCTGATGAAGCCATCTTTCATAATCGGATTGAGTTTATGCAGGAAATTTGCAATCTTCAATCTCTTCAGTACTTGTTTCCCAGATGTACTTCTATGATTGGCTTTCTGCAATGCATCAATAACTTCGCCAAATTCTTGTCTCTGTATGTATTTCAAAATGTCGTCTCCAGCAACTCGCAATTCTTCAACTTCAAGTTTCTCATTGCACTTATAATTCTTCTTCTTCTCACGAAGGTAGTCTTTGAATCGAATCATCCATGCACTTGCCTTTTTCAATTTATACCATGTTGAGAACTATGAAATGAATTTATCCATTGGCTTCAAAGCAAAATCAGAAACATAATTCGCAACAACTCGTGGCTTGCATCTTACAAATTCATCAGGAAGCTCAGGTAACTGTACTGGCGGTTTAGGCCAATGTTCCTCTTGCTCTTGGAGAAATGATGGTCCCTTCAGCCATCGTTCATCCATCAACGATAGTACCGACAATCCTCTGGATGCATCATCTGCGGGATTCAAATCTGTAGGTACATATCTCCACTGTATAACATTCGATCCCTCTTCAATCTTTGCAAGTCGATTTGCCACAAATGTTGGAAATCTTCGTGATGTATTATTAATACTCAAAAGCACGGAAGTTGAGTCTGTCCAAAACATCGACTCTATTTCTTCGAAGTCCAATTCACGTCTCAGGAATAAATCTAATTTGACTGCAAGAGCGGCAGCAGTCAACTCCAGTCGTGGTATTGAAACAGTTTTAATGGGTGCAAGTCGAGCTTTTCCTAAAAGAAACGCAACATGAATCTTCCCATCTTCATTGATTAGTCGCAAATACGATACAGTCCCATAGGCAACTGCAGAGCCATCTGCAAAATGGTGTATTTGACGAGTCACAATATTGCCAAAACCAGAAGGCGCAAAACATCTTTGCATGAATATATTCTCAAGTCCAGGAATATCTTCGAGCCATCTGTTCCACAATAAATTTTCACTATTCGATATTTCATCGTCCCATCCATAATTATTTCGACATAATTGCTGCATCAAAATCCTCGCTTTAAGTATTACAGGTGCCACTATTCCCATCGGGTCAAATATCGAACTGAGTACAGACAAAATCCCTCGTTTTGTTGCGGGTTTTGATTTCACATTAACATCAAATCCAAAACAATCTTCTTGGATATTCCACTTTATTCCGAGTACTCGATCGATCTTTTCAGGTTCTAAATTTACACTTGACGCAGAGTCTGCTCTGTCTTTAGCAGGGATCTCAGACAGAACTTCAGGATTGGAACTTTTCCACTTTGCTAGATGAAATCCTTTTTTCTCCAGCAATTTATTCGTTTCTCGAACAATATGAATTCCCTGGTTTACAGTAGATGAGCCATTCAGGTAATCATCAACATAAAAATTTCGCTCAACTCCTTTGACAACTTTTTCGTCAAATTCATCTTGGTGATCTTGAGCCGTCTTTTTCAAACTCCAATTAGCACAAAATGGAGATGAGACGCTACCAAATATGTGCCTGACCATAAAATATTCTGATGGATCTTGTGACAAATCACCTCCAGGCCACCACATAAATCGCAATACATTCCAATCCTTTGGGTGCACTTTCACCTGATGGAACATTGCTTCGATGTCAGCCACAATAGCTATTTCGTGTTGTCTAAAGCGGAGAAGTGTTCCAAGTAGAGAATTTGCCGTATCCGGGCCTCTCAATAGTTGGTCATTCAAGGAAGTATTCATACAACGTGATGCAGCGTCAAAAACAACGCGTACCTTGCCTGGCTTTTGTTCAGAAAACACAGGGTGATGAGGCAAGTACCAAACTGCACCTTTATTGCCAACTTTATATTCATTCGGGATACGTTTTGCAAATCCAAGACTAATATATTTCTCCATAGTATCACAGTACTTCTTTTTCAAAACAGGATCACTTTTCAATTTTCGTTCAATGTACTTTAAGCGTTTCATCGCAACACTTCGATTGTCTGGCAAATCAGGACATCCTGGCTTCCATGGCAATGGTAACTGATAATGTCCGTCCACGATCTCAACTGAATCTTCCATCAATTGCAATGCATATTTGTCTTCCTTAGACATCGATGGAATAGGCGACAGTGAAGCATCTTTGAAATCACTTTCCCACAAACATTTGATTTGCTGGCTCAGCAAGTCAACTTCAATAGATCAAGAAGTCGCTCATCGCATAAGCAAGCAGTAGAGCCTTCATCTAGAAATGCATACGTTTCTATTTCTCTTCTGTTGGCACAGATCTTGACAAGTACAATAGTCAAAAAACATCCTGCTGAGCTTTTTGAAGTCGCATATGCTTCAACTTTTGACTCATTTATACCAGCAGCATTTTCTGTCTGGGTACATGTCTCTTGTTCTCTTCTATGCAATAAAGTATTATGTTTCAACCTACACCCGTCAACAGTACAAGCAGGTGGTTTACGACAATTTCTCGACATATGACCATATACAAAACAATTATCGCACAATCTTGCCTTTCTAACAATCTTCAAGCGGTCACCGTGTGACTTCTGCAGGGATTTGTAACAGTCAACAAGTTTGTGTGACGTCTTTAAACAGTCAGGACAGACATCTCTTCCCTTTTCAATATGTTTTGCACTGGTAACACTACTGTCAACAGCTGAATTCACAGCAGTTGAATGATCGTGAATCTTTCGCCTATTCGATGATTGAAATCGTAAACGATATTGCTGTTCTTGCTTCCTTCGAGCTCTCAAGGCTTTTCCATAAGGCGTATTTGCAGCCGCAGCCTTTTTCTTCATAAATCGAACAAGATCTTTAAATCTCACTTCTCTATCTTGTCCATCTAATTCTGCCACTGATTCTTCCCAGTTGTTCTGCAACTTGAGAGGAAGTCGTAATACGATGGACAAAATAGTATCAAAATTATCCAAATCCCCAAAATATTTCAAATGAGTCAAAGTGACTAAACATTCTTCTAATGTTTGAGAAAGACGTAATAAACCTTCATTATCTCCAGGTTTCAACCATGGTCCTTTAGTCAACTTTTCTGAATATTTTCTAGCCACAAGCATTGGTCGACCGTATGTCTTTCTGAGCAAATCGCATGCCTCTTTATAACCTTCGTCGGGTGGCAACATTGTACAGTGCATAATCAGTTCCCTCGCATCACCTTCGCAGTATTGTACCAAATATGACAACTTTCTACTTGTATCATGTACTCTTCTATCAATATTTAAGTTGAAGTTAGTGATAAACCGGACATATTCAGTCTCTATTCCACTAAAATGCAATAGTTCAGGTCGAGGTCTATCAATTCCGTCTTGCAACATAGATGCCATATTGCCCAATACACTTTCCACATTTGCTGATGATTGATCATGCGTGTTTCTTTGTTGTGGGATGTGTGGTTCTGTGTACGGAGGTCGGTTCACTGATTCATACTGATCAGGAATATTCATGGCATCTCGCATATTAACAGTAGAAACTGGTCTTCTAACATTTAGTGCAGGATTTTCCACTGTGACTCGAGATTGTGACAACAAATCTGATGCTGGCAGTTTAGGTCTCACATCAGGAGGCTTTAATACTGGAACCACTATTTCATTCGACTCTTGGATTTGATTAGGTGAATGTGAACGAGACATATTTTCATATAATGACATACCTTCGCCTCCCTGAGAAGCATTTTCCCATACATAGGCTGCTATACAGGCTGATTCATATGCATGCTGCAATTCCAAACGCTTTGTTCCACTTTGAGCATCTTCTTCAATTTGTCTAGCTCTTATTTCCGCATCGCGTTTCAGCTTTTTAGCATTTTCTGTAGCCTCACGTTCCAGCCTTTCAGCTTCAATTTGGGCATCTAATTTCATTTTCTCTGCTGCCATTTTGCGGCATCTTTTTCTACTTGCTGCCAAATACTAGCATGAGCAAGTTCTCTGATGGCAATGGCTTCTGTACGTTTAGTACTCGAACTTGAACTGGCACACGAACGACGGGAACTTTTCCCAGAAATTATAGAACGTGCTTTAGGGCTATGGGTCGATGATTTATGACCATCAGCGTCACTCTTTTTGAACCAATCACGTAAGTGCACATTAAATTCTTGAAACTCGCGCAGTTCACACTGGAAAAATTCACTGACATTTCTTCGATCTTCTTCAGAACGTAAAGTACTCACATGAATTTCATGAGCATTTGAATACTCGGTGAACCGTTTGTCAATGTCAGCACTTTTCAATTTCAACAAATCTCGATTTTTGTAGTCTGACAGTCAGACTACAAGTCAAGTGAATGCGATTCTCGATGTAACACTAGACGACGAGGTGCATGAAATACACAGAGAGAACATGCGATTCCTCAGAGTTTTGTGCTGAGTAGATAACTTGAGAGAACACATTACAAGCACACACATATACTTTTGCCGTTTCACAGCCTTTTAATTGTTTCGTTCGTAGCGTTTATTGTTTCGTTGGTACAGCAATACTGTACCTCATGTGGTATAGTAAATATATTTTATATTGAATTTAGTTGGTGACGATCAAAAGTGGTATAGCAGCGAGGTGGCATAGTATCGAAGTTTGACTGTATACCAATTTGGGGGATGCGTCTTTGTGTAGTGTAATGTAAATGTAAGATTTTTTATTTTTGTTTTCTTTTTGCGCCTATCATATTTTTAATTTCTAATCTTGCATAAAGCGCGCCCATATATTTTTTTGTAAATTTAGAATTGTCGAACCAGATAAGTACGACTGGTAAATATTGTATTCCATGGAAGTTTTACGAGATATTTGGGCTGGGAGAAATATTATTTTGACCACGTAGAAATGCCATTATTGCCGAATTATGCATGTGGGTAGTATTAGTGTTTTATTCCGACGCTGAGTTAATACTCAATACGTGAATACTCAACACTGAATATTTAATTGATTCTTAATTTGCGGAGTTTTTAATTATTATTATATGATACGAAAGTAACACGGACATGATATAAAATTGAAAGCATAAAAAAGTCAAATATCTCATTCCGGGTGAGTAATACTGTTCGCTTAAAATTGGGACCTTAATTTACAAACTGTGATACAAATCGTACAAAAAAGATAAAAACCAGCATAAAATTAATTTGTGTTTGGAATGCACTCTTGTCTTTGACATCGTCGCCGATGTGAAATCACTTTTCTGTCAAATAAATAAAAACCAAACTACGATATCCGCCGTTGCATGAGAATTATATTTGCTAGTGAATAAAAAGTGCCTTAATATAGGTTATCAGCATTGATTGGGATGTCAAGCCGCCGAAAGGATTGCAGTGATAAAAATATTTACTGCGGCCTTGGACTATGACAAAATTATAAAATAAAAAGCGCAGGATTGTTACGAAGTTTTCAGTCTTCAAGTAAATTCAACGAAACACATATTTCTTCAGTGTCCAAAATACCTAGAAATACATGAAGAAATTAGGCTGACTCTGGAAAAAATCTGTGGCAAAAAACTAGATGTTCCCCCACAATCAATTTTCGACAATTCCTATTCAGGCAAAAACAAATTGGCAAATTCTGAAAATGTACAGTATTCTTAAATTGGAACCCATCACTCTCAAATGGACCTTGGATAGAGGAAACAGATATGTGAATCAAACAGATATATCTTCAATACTCAGAACTGTCTACCGGAAATTTTAAGACTGGATTTTTATAACCATAGACCGATATGGTTCGGCAGAGGTGTACGCTCTATCCAAAAACTGGAAATCAACGTTAGATGGATGATATATAGGGCGTGCGACATCAAATGACAAATCTACAGGATGCGCAACATGGAGCCAACTCATCAGTCACCACGAATGGTAGCTGAATTTCATCTTAGCAGTGCCCGATACGCCAGCACCGCTGTGTAAGAAGCTTGTGCTTGCAAATCGCCTCATGGTCATCGAATGGCTGTTATAACTACCCATGTACCAGCTAAATTGGCCGATATATTTGTTTCGGAGTTTGGCGGTTTTTAAAAAAATATAAGTAATACCATCCTAAATCGCGGATATGGTGTAATGAAGCTTACCATATTAGTTTGGTAAAGACGATCCCTTTTTCAAAGAAGAATGAGTCTAATACTTCCGTTGGCATTATCGGTCATGAAGGCATTGGGCTGGATTTCGGTAATGTCATCCTGATGACCTGATCCGTCATAAGAAAAAAAAAAGTCCTGTTCACATATATCTCATTCGCCGAATATTTTGTCCATATGATTCCGTTTATCATACTTCTCATTCACCAGATATTTTGATATATATATTTCGTTTCCCTCATAAAACAGTCGCCGTGATTATTCGCTCGTTAAAAAAAAGACTTGTGAGTGAGACTTGTCTGTGGCGTATAATTTTCAGTCCATGGTAATTAACTTAATTATGTCTAACGTATCTCGCGTTACGACTTTTAAATAAATTGATACTCTAAAAAAACAAATGTAATATGTGGACATAAACACATGAGATAAACTGTCTAATTACATTTTATTTTGATAGGTATCTTCTTTGCAATCTTGTTATTTCGTTATCGCCATTAGGAATCCGTATTTTTGACATTTTGCGGATTAAAGAAATCTGTACCTGTAACTACGATCCGCTGCCACTCGGAATATTTTTTAGATATAACCATTATTATCTCACGACGTAAAATCTATTTTAGTACAATGAAAGTCGATTGGATTAATTAATTTATCATCATAATTAATTTATCTTTACAATCCGCGTCGCGTTTACAAGTTTGTATAATGATAACACTGAAACTTTCGGCAGAAATATAAAGAAATGGATAAAAAGATAAATCCAACGCACAATTATTTTTTTTATTTAGGTGATGGTATGGTTTCCAACGCTAACCAACCATAATACCAAAACAATCGACCTTTTTTAGCAAAATGCACGCAGTATTAGCGACAAGTGGGACATTTGGTACAAGTGGGGCCCGTGAAAAAAGTGGGACACGTGGTTTAAGTGTGACATGTGGGACAAGTGGGACATGTTGTACAAGTGGGACACGTGGTTCAAGTGTGACACGTGGAACAAGTGGTACACGTGGCACAAAGGGTACAAGTGGGACACTAAA